CATACATAACATACATAACGTACATACCATACATATCATACATATTATACATAGCATACATAAAAGAACTACTTAGTTGCGTAACATACATGCATGCATGCATACATGCATACATAGATACACATGCATGCATACAGACATAGATACATACATGCAGGCTTTCCGTAGCATCAAGCAAATGCGAAGTGCCCCGGTTAGCTGTTGCAGGTTCGTTAAGGTTGTTTGAGCAACGACGAGTTTTTCTACAGCAATGTCGCTGGCGGATGAAAGATTCAGATCCACAACTTCGTGTATGCCACAGCATCACAGAGACACTCGCGTAGCCCACGCCTCCATTCACGTTGAACGGCACAGGGACATGAACTACACGTATCAATGCTTCGGCGACCTAGAAACCATGTAATTAGGTGTTGAGCCACAACAAGCCCTTCCTTCAGGCGTCATGGCAGCGCAGCGCAGTTGTCCCATGGTCCGAACCAGTTGCAAGGTATTTGTTTCGTATTGCTGCCACTTAGGGCGCAGTGGTTTCACGACTTTTGATCCTAGTAGATTCCGAAGAGCCTCCATCCGACCTTCGAGCTTTGGGGGCTTCGCTGTCGACAAAACTTGACTCTGCCATACCTTCACCCCCAACCAAACCCGCAATTGGAGGATCTGGCTACTACCGTATATATCAAACAGTGTATCTCCAAATATATATATATATATGTATATATATATATATATACATACATATGCACATGTTCCTGAGCGGTTATGTTATGCACATATATACCTAGAGATGAAAAGATGATGCTTGTGATGCTCTATGCTGCTGCTGAGCCCTACATACACCGAGGCCCTTAGCCTGGCTTTCCTCCTCCTCTCTGGAATTTTCCTCCTCCCGGCGCCTCCGCTGCTGCAAAGGCCGCAAGGGGCCGAGGAATCTAAGTTGAGGAGTCTGGCCTCAAAGTTGTTTGTAGTAGGGAGGGTTTCGGGGTGTTGAAGTTTCGTGATTTGGGATTTATGCAGGGTTGCTCAGAATTCAGGAGCCGGAATCGGCTCGGCATAAAACAAGCTTCATGGTGCGGCAGTGGCTCTTAGCAGTCCTCTTGTCGCTAGCGGTTTTCGATACGAGTTTCCTCTCTGAAAGAGGTTACAGGTCTTTGGGAGTTCACGGCTTCACGGCTTACAGATTGATTTCGATAGTGAGCTTTTTCGGGGTTGGGTGCCTCAGTTGTTGAAGGATCCTAGATATTCCAGAATCCTAGAGAAAATGGGCTCCGGAAATTAGGGACTAAAGAGTGAAATCATTCCTGAGGCATGGTTGGCGTCAACAAAAGCTTTCAAGCAGATACCGGCTTTCAGAAAAAAAAACAATTTAACAGTGCGAACAACCTAACAAGATTAAGAACGAACGGCACAACTGCGTTTGTGAAAAAGTTACTATTCTCGCTGCCTCTCTCTGAGCTTTTCTGCAGGAGCTCTTGGCAATCGGCTGGCATTCACTCTACAGGGCCTGCGGCGAAAACGAGCGACATCCAGGCTCCAGAATTCGGGTTTAAGTTCCACGCCGCATGCTTCCGTGAACTTGGGAGTGTTTTTTGCTGCGGTGCTTTCCCACTTTGAGCTACAACGGGTTGTGATTTTGTGTAGTAAGCAGCCTTTGCAAAGCAACTCGGGCTGAACTTGAGCTTTCGGCGGCAAGTTGTGCATACCGTGCAGGTGGAAATGCTGGCCAGCCGGCCGGTTGCGGGGCGACCAAGCGGGATTTTGCGAGATTTGCAAGGGCCTCCACCAGGACCTCCAGGAGGGCCTCCACCGGGACCTCCCGGAGGGCCCACAACAACACTTGCACCAGGGCCTACGACAACACCGACACCAGGGCCGACAACAACAGGACCTCCAGGATACCCTCCACCTATGCCAGGGCCTACAACAACACCGACACCAGGGCCAACAACAACAGGACCACCAGGAGGGCCTCCACCTATGCCAGGGCCTACAACAACACTGACACCTGGGCCTACAACAACAGGACCACCAGGACCCACTTCCACACCTCCACCAGGAGCACCAGGAGGGCCAGGAGGACCAACACCACCACCAGGAGGAGGACCACCGCCAGGACCACCAGGGACTCGCCCAACTCCGGGCTGTCCAGCTCTGTGCGGCCAGACCTTTGCTTGCATCGTCTCGCCTCCGACGCTTCTCTCAGATACCGTAGGTTATATATGGTTAGTTATATTATATTATACTATATTATATTATATCATATTATATTATATTTCTTGTCACAGTTGCATGCCCAGTGGCGGGGTGATCCTCAGCCAAGGCTTACCAAGCCGGACACCAGCGCGCGCCCACAATGGACGCCTGGTGGGAACCTGGCACCGTCAGGAGGATTGCCCCTTGCTCGCATTGACGCGGTTTCTTAAAAACCTTACACCGGAGATGTCCAGTACTGTGGAGATAGGCACCCTAAGACAATACCACACATCTTCGTGATGACCCACCGTATAGTTACATCGGCAAGGTTCAGGACCTTTGCAACAGACGTTTGAGCACACAGGTGACCAAAGGCTTGAAGCCGAGACTGCATGTGGCAGCCCACGCCCAGAAATGAGGTGACAATCGGGGACAGTCTGCAAGACTCTACCGTCAGCCATTGCCACCTAGGAGACCCAAACGCATTCAATGTTTCGAGAAGCTGTGACATAAACACCCAACACTCGCCATACTCATCAGAATAAGAAGACTTGACAGATTTGATTTGATTCAACTCACAGTGGCGGCAACTGCAGCCGCTGCCCACATTTCAGAAATCCAGAGAGCTTTGCGCTTCATAATGATGGCCGACCTGCCAAAACTTAACATCAGATGCAAGCGTCCGTACTTGGAAGGCCATGCTGTTTATGCTCAGTCTGCTGAGTGTTACAGGACTCCCAAGAAGTGTGTGAGCCCAAGCGCCAGCTGCAGCTGCATCTCCACGCTATCGGACCCTAAGACCGCAGCGATTCCGAGGCCGTTGATCAATGTCGCCGCCCTAAATCTGCGTGGACTCGAGGACCGTACATGGGACGTGGCCTGGCAAAACACAGCTACACAAGAGGAACCAACATGCATGACTTGTCACACCCACACACCCAAGATTTTTGTGGGTATGCGCACTCATGCCGGCTTTGGCCACACATTCGGCTTTGGAAACACATCGCAAGAAATCAACAGTGTGCAGTCATGAATACCCGTTCTGGGATTGGAGCATCGACCGGCGGAGAAGACTAGGAAGCCGGCTCGGAGTAGAAAGCCATCACATGGACCAAGCGTCGCCTCTGTGTCTGCGAGTACGGAATGGTTTGGCATCCGAAGAAGACCCTTCCCACTTTGTTCAAGAAGAGGTTCTCACGCAGCTTCAGATGCAATGCCTTCAAGCCTCTCATCCTTTGCAACATCAAGGTCGAATGGACTTCTCTGCTCTTCAAGCCAACAGCCCATGCCTCGGTGGCTGCCATAAATCGTGATTTAAATAAGTACGTACTTCTGCAGCTAAGTTTGTAATCGGTATTCATACTTGAACGGCATGTTGCTGAAAGTAGATTGAGTGATGTCCGGCATCGATTTTGCCGCGGTACTACTTGTCAGTGCATGCCCGAACTGCCAGGAATATGTCATCACCCGGCCAAGCGACTCGCTCGATGCAGCAGGCAACAAAACCGTATTTCCTCAGCCCTGGAGGGACGAAGCCCCGCACCCCACAAGAACGTACTTACAGTGAAAGTTTAAGGACGTGTTCTCATTGCGACCTCGCTGGGGGGAAATTAAAGTCTTCCGCGCCTCTCGCCCACTCGCGCCATAGCACGGCAACAGGAACGAGTGGAATCATTGGAACATTGATTCATTGGCGCCCCCAGAACATTGCGACAGCACAAATTAGAAGGGGCGAGGAATTGAAGTCGTCCGCGCCACTCGTGCCACTCGCGC